TAGAAACTTAACATACTCTCACAATATGGAAGCAATGCTCAACAGCCTAGAAACTTAACATACTCTCACAATATGGTCATTTTGTTTCAGAGAATGAATATTAGGAGGAATAAGGTGATTTACTAGCGGGCAGCGGCGTCAGGTTCAAACTCGAGTTTGGATCGGCGACGATGAAGTTCGTCGGAGAAGGAGCGGGAGATCGAGGTAGAAGAACCTATGTTGTGCCTTTCCCTTCGATTTTTCTGTTGCGGGAAAAACATATGCAATTAAAATAAAATTATTTTTAACTAAATTGGTTGAAAAAAGAAGCTCAGTTTGGCCCTGTGGTAGCTTTTGCAGAAGCAGCTTCTGGTTTGAGCTTTTATAGAAGTACTTTTCAAAAAAGTAGTTGAGTGTTTGGTTGAAAATTTATTAAAAGTGTTTTTTAATATGAGAGGTTGTGTAAAATGACTATAAAGGACTATAATATAAACTATGAATAATAATTCTAAACAATAAAATGTAGTCAAAATGGATATTGTTAGACTTCGTTTATATTAAATAATATGATTTTATACTTTATTTTATTTTTAAAATAATAAAAAATGAAATAATATAATATTTTTCTAAAATAAAACTAAAATATGATAAGGATAATCTTGTATTTTCAAAACAGCTTTTCGCAGAAGCTCTAAATCGGAGCTTCTGCTTTTATGTTATACAAAAGCACTTTTCGGTTTTTCAAAAGCCGAACTTTTGGAGGTGTTTGGCACTGCTTCAACTTTTGAATCCGAAAAGCACTTCTAAAAGCTGGGCCAAACATAGACATGCAATATGGCTGTGAGACTTATCCGTCCGTGGTCAGCTAGCAGGTAGGCTAGTTCTCATGGGCCACTGGTTTGAAGAACTAGTGTTAAATATACCCGATCCATGCCACATCACTTTCACGTGAACCAATCAAATTTTGCGTCATCGGTGTGCCGCACTTTTTATAGCGGCACCATAATATTGGCCTATACATTATACACCACTCCTAATGGATCATATATGCGTAGGCGTAGCAAGACCCAGGCTTTGTGGACAGTAGAATGTTGGATCTGAGTAGCTGACCCATTGGAACTGGGCCAACTGGCATCGAAAAAGCCTGGCCCAACTGCTTCGGTCCTTTGAAGCTTTCACCAAGGCACGTCCTTTTTCTCCCCTCCCAGCATAGAGGTTTTGGTAGGGTTTTTTGGTCCAGACTCCAGAGCCATTACTGTCTTCGCCCCTCTCAGTTGTCTTCGCAGAACCTGACACCTACTGGTAAATTCCTCTCTGCGCCTTCCCGTTTCGATTTGTTGAGAAACCCATCTTCGTTGATTCGAAGGATTGTCGAACAAGGGTTTACCATTCTAATTTCTCTTTTGAGAAAAAAAAAAAAGATTCAGCTTTTCCCAGCTACATCTATGGCGAAGAAGCGGAAGCATAGCGAAACAGCGTTGGCGACGGCGGCACCTCAAAAGAAAGAGGAAGTTGCTCCCGAGCGACCCAAAAGAACCCTTCTTGGATGGAAGGACAAAGAGGCTGCTGCCGTTGTTGCTCCTGCTGAAGACAAAGACGATGAAGTTCATCAGCCTGCGAATTTCAGGAATAAAGAGAAGGTTTTGGTCACTTGCTCCCGCCGAATCGCTTACAGGTTGCTAAAGTTGATTGATTGGAGTGTATTTCGTTTTTCATTTGATTTGGGATTCTGGGCTATTGAATATGTGGTCCGGTTCTGGGTTTAACAAAGGCTGTTATGATGTTAGGTACCGGCACCTGATGTTGAACGTGGTTTCCCTGCTTCCCCATTGTAAGAAAGATAACAAGGTTGAATCTCAAAGCAGCAAAGGGGTTGCACTCAGTGAGATGGTTGAGCTAAAGAGCTGCTCTTCCTGTTTGTTCTTTGAGGTATAACATTTCTTCATTTCTTAGCTCGTAATTTGGAAGTTCATCAATAGGGGAAATTTGAATGCGAGATAGAAATTTCTTAGCTACAGATTTGGGCAGTTTAGGTGGCTGAGATATGGCATTTGAGTTGCAATTCCATTTGGTTTATCATATGAACTTATTTGCCGTCGGTCTACTGTAGTGCAGGAAGCACAAAGACTTGTATCTATGGATGGCAAAGTGTCCTAGTGGACCATCGGTGAAATTCCTAGTTAATGCTGGTAACTATAATTGCCACGGGGTTCTATACTCATTGGTTCATTTTCACAAGTGTTCTTGTATTGGGTCTACTGCTTTAGTTTTTTCCTTGTGTTGAATCGATGTTTTTCATTTGATCAGTGCACACAATGGAAGAGCTGAAGCTTACCGGGAATCATCTAAAAGGATCGCGCCCACTTTTAACTTTCTCGGCTAATTTTGACAAAGATGCCCACTGGAAGCTTTTGAAGGAAATGATTACTCAGGTTTCAGTTTCTGTTCTTATTTTCTCAATCAGAACTGTACGAGGTAGTACAAGCTCGATATGTAATTTCGTCGGTATGATTTTGGTTCAGATATTTGGAGTTCCAAAAGAGCACAGGAAATCCAAGCCTTATCATGATCACGTCTTTGTCTTCTCCATTGTGGATGACCATATATGGTTTCGCAATTACCAGGTAAACTTTGCACCTTGTAAGTTTCAGTCTGATTCTTGCACATCTGGATCTGTGAAACCATCAAATAGCACGAGTTATGCTTGCTTGTCATGTTTATTGTGTATATTTCCACTGTTTTTGCTACCTTGAGATTGTTCTCATTTGGACATTGATATCGTTGCTCACACTGTCATCACTTTTTTTTGTTAATCCAGATATCAGTACCTCACAATGAAGCGGATAAAGTGGCTCGTGGAGGCCTGGACAAGATGACCCTTGTTGAGGTTGTTACTCCAATTCACATCTTAACTTCATTAACATAATGGCGAACTTACAGTCAAACGTTCTTAACCCGTGAATGGTCTTACACAGGTCGGTCCAAGGTTCTGTTTGAACCCTATCAAGATCTTCGGTGGCAGTTTCGGCGGCCCAACTCTGTATGAGAATCCATTCTACATATCTCCCAACCAGGTCAGTGTTCATTTCCCTTCGTAAAGTAATGTTCTCCCGCAGAGAGTAGAAATCGTGCAGACCCTAGCTAGTTCTTGGTATCTATTGATGACATGTATGATTTCGATAACCTCTCTCCCGATCATGCTGCATTTTTTCCAGATAAGGGCTCTAGAGAAGCGGAAGACTGCCGGGAAATATGCCAAGAAGGTCAAAGCCAAGACGAGAAGGAAGGTGCACGAGTTATCGAATCAGCTGGAGGCTGGCGAATTTTCTGAGATGTGGAAGGACCAGTGAGTAGAGTCTTGGGCAGGTTTCTTAGATGAAAGCTTTTTGAAGGCATCTGTTGTGTTATACATCACAAAACATTCAATTACTCTGTATTCAGCATTATGACATGAGTTATCAGCAGGCAGCAGCACAGCTGTTTTCCTTCTCCACAATTCATGTCTGTTAAAGCAAGTTGGAATTGGTTTCTTCATTCACACCATTCCTCATCTTGCCAGCCATCTCTATCAACTATTAAGATATCAGTCATCGGATGTTAGCACTCACTAATTACAATCTTTGAGTTTCATGATGAATGTAAAAATTTTATGTCAAAGAGGAAACATAGAGAAATGACCATTGTATTTTACATGGATAAATGTTTGGCAGACCCTGTTCTTAAATAGATACCCAGAAGCTAATAAAAGTTAGCTATCCCGCTGCCATCAATGGCCTCCAAAGCAACGTGGTTGGCTGGTTGCTCCTCCTTGTTTTCCATGTACTCTGGCTACAGTCTTGTTCAAAGCCTCTACATCTGCATGCACGAGACTGTAATCAATTGGTTGCTACCTGTTATGTCTCTTTTGGATCTATAAGCATCTGTTGTAATTAACCTTTGGGATCATGAGGTTTGATGTGTTTTCAGTGTTAGCTACACTGTACCGTACCAGCGATTTAATCGGAAAAATCGTTTATTCCAAATTCAAATTGGTATAAGATTTTATTAATATGAAACCATTGTACCATAATGATTTGATTACAAATATCATGTTATTGACTTTAATACATTTTTATGGTAAAATTGTAAGATTGCTGCCCATAATGATCTTCGGCTTATATGTTTTAGGCTCTTCTCTTGTTTTGGATTCCTTGTCAAATCGGTTTATTCCATTGTACAGGTCAAATAAATGGTTTGAAGTTTAATGCTCGCATCAGGGTCCACAAATTCAAGCTATCCATATCATAAAAATATATGCGTATATATGGTAATAATTTAAGCTTTTAATAGTCTGAATGTAATATGAAAGGTACCATACAATAATTTAACAAATAGTATATTATCTTCCCCTAACAGATGTGTATATATGTTTCGTTTTCCGAAATAAAGCATGGGAGAGGGTCAAAATGCAACATTCTGTCTAACATTTAGAAACAAGTCAATCAAATCATACCATACATTTTTGTGGGTTAGATGGGATACAGGTTTGGAGGCAAAAATAACTTTTTGAAAGCAGTTTTTTGTATTGACTTCGGTCGGACCTGATCCAACCGACCGACTCAACTACGTAAGTAAGACTAACAAGTCTGTTTGACTCCAAGGAGATCACCAAGCAAACCCAACCATAGTTATAATCTCACCGTCTAGTCCAAATCCGACGTTCCAATCTAAACCGCGGATTCTCATATGGTTTGGTTCGTATTTGCGCCCTACTTGGTGTATCCAATGGATCGATCCATAGATTATGGATAAACGGTACGCGCACATGAAAGAAAACCCGGTAATTTTATTAATTCTTTTTAATTCCTGAAAACATTTCTCACCAAAAAAAAAAAATTCCTGAAAACATTGGTCCAGATTTTGAAGCGAATTTAGGTGGCTCGAATAAATAACAAAGTAGCTGGAGCAAAAATGGGGAAGCCAAGCAAGCAAAAAAAAAACCATAAAACTTTGCGTATATTCCTTCGTCTGCTAATTCTTTTTTGTGTGCCGCTGAGATCTCTCCCTGACTTGGCGCCTTTTTCCATCCAATGATGGCAGACATTTCTCCGGCCGCTTCGATCCGGCGGTGAACACAACCGCACCGCGCTGCTGAGCAGGGGAGCTCACGCTTTTCCGGTCCCGGAATCTCGTCCTACGTACTCTTTCTTCTTTCCAAGGCTTTTTTTGTCTCCATGGACGGCGTCGGGATCTGGAGCCGCGACATCGGGCCGCCGGAACCCTGGCATTCCGTCACCGCTGTTTGCTTCGCGGTGTGCCTCTGCGGCGCTAGGTTCCTCCTCGACAAATTCATCTTTCGGGTTAGATTGGCCTTTTCTTTTTCCCCCCTCTCCCCTCTTCTTTTGTTGCATTCGTTTTGTCGCGTCTGGTTTTCTTGGCTCGAGTTCTGATTATATGTTTGTTTAATTGCTGCGATTCCTTTGGTGGGTATGGAAAAGAATTGAGGCTTCGGCGTCTTTTGAGTTGGGTTTGATTCATGCTCATAGACGAATCTACTGCTAGATTAGGATCGACCAATTTGAGAAAGCTCCCGCATAGTTTCCTGAATTTCTTTGAGCGTTGTTTAGCCGATTTGAGGAGTAGGGGAACGTTGGTCATGATTGGTAACGCGGAAGTTCTTGGGAAGTACTGCTTTCGAATAGTGTCTCATTGGCTGAGTTTCTGTGCTGTCTGGCTCGGAATGGATATGTCTCCTAGCTGTCAAGGCCATAGTCAAATAATTGAGTGGTTTGGAAGACCCTTTTGGGACTCTAGGTGTCTGGTTTGTGTAACCATTTACTTGGGGAGGAAGATTTTCTTGGATCTTCTCCAGTTGTCTTTTCTTTGGCTGGGCTCATCAAAATTGGTTTTTTCTCTGTTTGCTTCATCTGCAGAAAATGGGTAGAGCCAAGAGTTATCATTTGGGTTATCTTGAAGCATTGTGGGATTGACTATAAAATATTCACCAATGATTGTTCAGAATGGTGTGTTCAGTGATTAGAAAAGGATGTGATTGGTGTCCGGATCATCTAATATTAGCAAAAAAAAAAATCATCTTTTGCTTCATTTGTTGAGAATGTTTTGTTTAAGGGCAAGAGAAACTTTCATTTGCAGAAGCTGTTCTGTTTAGTTCAACTGACAGACTTGGGAAGAAACTGAGAATGCAAGACAACTTTTGTGTTCCATTGTGTTTCTGCCTTTATTTCTGCTGGGGTTTTATAGAATCTGTCATTTTGGCCATTACACTGTCAGAAGTTGACCCTGTCATCTGTACAGGAGAACTAGAGTGGAACTGAACACTTAACTCTTCTTATTTTTCACCTCCTTCTGATGCCCTGTTCTTTTGTACATTATAGGGTGTGACTGTTTGGTTGTTAGGCAAGAGAGCTGCTTCAGTGAAGATAGATGAGGTTACACAGGCGACAATTATTAAATGCACTGAGTCGATGTGGAAATTGACATACTATGCAACTCTTGAAGTGTATGTTCTGAAGATTCTGTTTGAGGAATCATGGTTCTGGGATTCACAACTGTACTTCAGAGGCTTGCCAAATCAAGAATTGAAGTGAGTAGTTAAATTCTGTATTAGCTATCCTACTGTTTTCGGGGGCGACTGTTGGGTTCGGGTCTTAAAGATAATATTTTTGTTCTTATTCCTGCTAGTTGTTCAGGCTAATCAGCCTTTTCATTTTTTTTTTCTTTCTGGCATATCTTAATACTTGAGATTGCAAAATTGTCTCTTCTGTCTTTAAATATTATTTGATGTCATCGAGTCATCCAGCATTGTGGCTCCTAAGTTTCTATCCTTAAGTACTCACTTGTCATTTTTCCATTGCAGGCTTTCCATTATGCTATATTACATGTGCCAGTGTGGATTCTACCTCTATAGTATTCCTGCTCTCGTTTTGTGGGAAACTAGAAGAAAAGATTTCTCTGTCATGATGTCTCATCATGTTATTACAGTAGCTTTGATCGGAATCTCATATGTTACAAGGTAGTGTTTCAGTGATTATACAACTCTATGACTGACAATTTATTGTAGGTTACATGTCCTAAAGGTTGCCGTTGGTTTCATAATTTTGTCCAAAGACCATCTTCTTGCTTCTCCCATCACTGCATTTCCCATTTGCCTTGTTTACTGAAGAAATTGACATCCCATTACCACATGATGCAGGAAAATGATAGGGCCACTCATTTTTCTAATTGAGATTCTTAATGTTCACCATGTCTATTTCATTTGCCGAAGTCAAATAGTTTTATAGTCTAGAAACGGTGTCATTATTCATCTCTCGTGGGTGGGTGTACTTTGGCATCTGACAAGAACAACTTGTAGACTTGTCATACAGTTTAAACACTAACAAACTACGATGAATTCCCTTTTTGGTGTCTCACATAACCAGAAATGGCATGACTGAGATGTTAAAGCATTGCTCATTCTCTCAAAGATGGCCTACACTATAAGTTTCTTTTTAGAAGAAGCAACCGAACTGTGAGCTTCAGTTTAACTGACGAAATAACAAAATGCCTAACCTTTTCCCTCTCCAGCTTTTTCCGGATAGGTACAATCATTCTGGCCCTCCATGATGCTAGTGATGTATTCTTAGAAGCTGCTAAAATCTTTAACAAGACCAGGAAGGAGCTTGGAGCAAGCATTTGCTTTGGCTTATTTGCTGTCTCATGGCTCATTCTGCGATTGATATTCTTTCCATTTTGGATTATCAGTAGTACAAGGTTTGTCGCGATCTCCTTTCCTCCTTCTGTCTATCCCATATGTTAAAAATTTCATGTGGTTTTGCTTTGTCGCCAGCCGCGATCTTGTGGAGTATTTGGATTTAAGACAGTGGTACCCGAGATCACTGTACTATGCATTCAACACGTTGCTGATCATGTTACTTATATTCCACATCTACTGGTGGATTCTGATATGGGCTATGATAAAAAGGCAGCTACTGAACAGAGGAAAGGTCGAAGGCGATATAAGATCTGGTAAGGCTTCGCGCCACTTCGGTTAGTGAGTGTTTTTTTCAATCTTAATCGTCATTGTGGCTCGGTTCTGCTTCAAGTTCCAGCAACTGATCATGGTTATGTATCGCCATTGCAGACTCGGAAGAAGAGGATTGAATGCGCGAATAGGCAGCAGTATTGCTCGTCGGAGTTGTCTTGTCTGACGGAGGGCAGTAGGGGGCGAGGCAGTTAGGGGGTTTTGACTATGATTCTTGTTGTAGGGTAGGGTGTTGGTGAAGCTCTAATATTAGTTCCATCTTCTCAGAATTCTGATGTGGAGATCAAAGCTCTTGCTGGTGCAAGTGTAGAGATGAGTTGACGAAAGTAGAGCAAAGGACCAGAGCAGAGAGGCAGGCAGGCAGGCAGTACGGTGGTGTTCTTGTTAGTTGATATTTTTGGGGTCAAGTGTCTTCTATTTTTTTACCATTTACTCTACATTTGGTGTATACATGATATGATAGGCAACTCAACTCCTGTGATATGAAATTTCCCAAGCTCAGTAAATTTACAGAAAGTATATAGTTTCCATTCCCAATTCACAACCTATATTTTTCTCTGAAAACCACCATGTTATTCTGTGTAGGGCTGGAAGTTTGGTACCGGTATTTGGGATATACCGAATACCGTACCGAATTTGTGTATGTTTGGTATTACCGAATACACGTATTATTTCTTGAGATTGGGATTCTATTTCAATTGTTATTCGGTATTAGGGATTACGGGATTGAGATCGGTATATACCGAAATACCGAACACTACCGAAATATAAGCTAGTGTGTATTTTATCCTCTCAACTAGACTCTCTCATTCACTATTACACGAAACTCAATCACAAATCTATTGTTATTTTCATAACACAAAAAAGCAAACACTAGTATTAGTCTTCTCTCAGCCTCCAATTCGTCAAATTAAGGATTAACAATGACAAAAACTTGAGATTTCACCTCTCCTATGTTCTCCTTATCCATATCCTAGCTCTAGCCTCTAGCCAAACTCAAAACTCTTTGCTTAGTCTATTTGTCCTACATTAAATAATCAAATCTAATTTATATATTTAATTATTAATTGTAAAGGTAATTAATTTTGTATTTCATAATACCGATTGGGATACCGAAATATTTAGAGATTGAGATTGATTTTAGGGTGTAATTCGGTATTCGAGATTTCGGTATTTTGTATTGGGATACCGATACCGTACCGATTTCCACCCCTAATTCTATGTACCTATGATGTATTTAGTAATTTAATGCAAATCACTGGGACTTGTCGGTTAGGAGGCGGTTTATCAGTGTCATGTCCAAATCACTAAGAACCGTTCAGTCCATCCGTAACCGTTCAATCAAATGAACTGAGTCGCTACTGTAACTGATTTAGTGGTTCTACTGACCCATCTATTAATTCGATTCGATTCTACTGCTGTAAGCTTGTAACCTAACAATTAGGGATGGCAATGGGTCGGGTTGGGGCGGGTTTTGTCAAACCCAAACCCATGGGTTTATTCGCTAAAAAAACCCGGGGTAAAACCCGTTGGGTTTGAAAAACTCAAACCCAACCCAACCCGCTGGGTATCCGCGGGTTCATGGGTACCCGTGGGTTTTTGTGGTAAACAATTTGCAATAACAAGTTTCTTTCAAAATAAAAGTTTAACATCAATTTTCTCATACAAATTAATCATACAAAAAAGCACCAATCTAGAGCATACAAGCAAACCGCAAATGATCAATACAAATTGTTCAAAATTAAAGATAAACATCTATAAATAAAAGATTAATTGAAAGCTTCTTCTTCTTCACTCTCCACTTCATAATATCAACTTCATTCTAAACAATTAGAAAGAACAAATTATACATGTCTCCACAAATATAAAGAATATAAATTGTTTAAGGAAGATATATTATTTAGAATATTAAATATACCGGGAAAGTAATTATATGTGTGTGGGCGGGTACCCATGGGTCGGGTTTACCTAAACCCAAACCCAACCCGACCGGTGAATAGTGTAGCGGGTTTAAACCCAAACCCCGTCAACACGGATTTTACCCGCGTTGACCGGGTTGGGTCGGGTGGGTACCCGTGGGTTCGGGTTTTGTTGCCATCCCTACTAACAACGGCCTGACTTGGCCTTGTATATTCGTATCTTGCTATTCCTTCCGAAATATTTATAAAAAAAAAAAACAGTGGCCTGTGCCACGTTAAATACTATTTTATTGTGTGACCCGAGCGGGGAATTTGAACTCCAAGATTACACCAACTTACGATTTATTACGTAATGGCATACGTGTTACACCAACGTGGGCCCCAATTATTTAAGGGCCTGGACCTTTTCAAATGCGTGGTCAAGCCCAAGCAGGATTTTCCCCTTTTGTTTTTTCTTGACAAGTGGCCAGGAATCGGAAGTCTTAGGGGTTCACACGTGTCCGGTAATACGGCTTCTGTCGCCGGGACCCTCCAACGGCCAGCCCAACGTTTTCCGGCGTTATCTCATCCGTCGCCGTCGCCGTCCCTACTTCTAATTTCTCGTCCACTCTTCCTTGCCTTTGGGCCCTTCTGGTTTTTGGCCTGGTTCCTAGTTGTCTTCTTGTAAGTTTTATTGTACATTTGCCATTTTTGGTTTACCTCTTGTTTTCAGGCAAATCCATTTCCCAACTTGGGAATTTTATGTCAAGTTACACCTTTTTTTGTTGATATGTGTGTTTACCCACACAAAAAAAAAATGCTTACCACATTGCTTGATTATAAGAAATTAAATGACTTCATAAGGGTAAAATTAAAATTATCTAAATTGGATTATAAGGGTTCGATTTTTAAGTAGACGCGGTGTACTAACGTAGTCCAATATATTTAGGAAATCTCTTCATGTTGGATTATAGGGGTTCGATTATAATTGTTCGAATTTTTTTTGCACAAATCGAACGAGTTTGTTGTGATATACAAAATAAGATCCACGTTCAATATATTTCTGTAAAGAAATATTCGTATTACGCATACCACTCGTTACCACCTGAAACTAGTATGTACCACCTTCGTTTGAACTTGATTTTTTAAATTTTTTTTTGCCTAAAAGGAACGAATTCATCTTAGTTTATTAGATCTAAAAATTTATGAGAGATAAAATTTTCAATATTAAATATACCACCCTAATAGAGGGCAACAAGTGGTGGTATATGATGATGAAATATGATAAATGACGGTTACTATATTCCTACTATCCTGCATGCAACCATACTACACTTTGACATGTTCATACGATCACAGTATACTTCCATACCATGTGATATAATCTTATGTACTATCAAATACAGATTGATAATAAAATTTCTCAAATTTTTACAAAAGATAGAGCACATTAAAATTAATTGACCAAAAGATTAGAAATCTTCCGTTAAATGATAAGAATATGTTATACACAGTACCCATTCCATTGTTTATTACGTTTTTTTTTCCCCCTCTTCTTCGGTAATTTTATGTAGTTTTACTTAATTGCAAAATTATTAACTTCTAAATGACCGTCGAAATCAAATTACTAATTAGCCGTCCAAATAAACCTTCTTTCCGCCGATAATTAATAAAACCTTTCTCCTCACGTGCATACAGACAAAAAAATTATATAAATAGACCCTCCACGTCATCCGAAAGTGCCCCCACTTCAAGTCCAGTCAGCAAGCGGGCCCCAACCTTTTTATCCAATACCATCACGTGCAAATTCCATTTTCCATTTCATTCAACCCCGTGTCTGAACTGTGTCTATCCCAGCTGGCAAACCACGTCACCTCCTCCTTCCTCTCTTCCGTATATAAACCCTTTGACCGCCATATTTCCCCTTCAAATCAAAATCCATCCGTCAAAGAAAGAAAAAAAAAACACTCCAGAAAGAAAACAGAGCAAGCAAGAAAAAAAAAATTCAACCTCCAAATCATGAACCAGATTTCTCCCAAGCGGCCCAAGGTCAGCGGCTCGCCGCCTCCGCCGTCTCGCCTCACCCAGGAGGAAGAGCTCGCCGTCATGGTCGCCGCGCTTCGAAACGTCGTCGCCGGCACCACCAGCTCACTTCGAGCCCACCAATTAGTCCAATTCCCATTGCCGCTCCCGCCGTCGGATCTCGACACGTGTACGGTGTGCCGGATCGAGGGCTGCTTGGGGTGTGGGCTTTTCCCGCCAAACCAAGAGGATCAACAAAATCAAAATGCCAGCAACAACAACAACGAAAACAAGAAGAAGCAACCCGCCGCGCCGCGGAAACAGAGGGGGAATAAGAAGAAGAACAGCTACAGGGGAGTGAGGCAGCGGCCGTGGGGGAAATGGGCGGCGGAGATTCGAGACCCGCGAAGGGCGACGAGGGTGTGGCTGGGCACGTTCGACACGGCGGAGGACGCGGCGAGGGCTTACGATCGGGCGGCGATCGAGTTCCGCGGGCCTAGAGCCAAGCTGAATTTCTGCTTCCCCGATCAAATTCAGGTCGACGGAAGCTCGGATTGTTCGAATCGAATGCCGGCCGGGTCGGAGAAGGCGAAGGGAAAGCGTGTGAGAGAGGAGAGGCCGAAGGTGGAGGAGATGATCGGAAGTTGTAGCGAAACGATGGGGGAAATGATGATGAGTGGAGAACAGGACGAGTTTCAGGAGTGGATGAGGATGGTGATGGATTTCTCCGGCGGGGATTCTTCGGATTCCGGCGGTACGTCGGGGACAATGTGCACGAGCGCCGGGAATCTCTGCTTCTGAATATCCTCTGTTTTCTTTTTTTTTTCCCGGCCAACCGAGTAAGAAAACAGAGTAAAAGCAGAACAGGGGAGGAGGGAAGGAAAGAAGCTTCTGATTCTTTTTTTCTCGTAGATTTTTTTTTTATTAGGAGAAAAAGAATCAGAATTTTCTGTGTAATATAGTTTGTATTTTATTCGTTAAATTCATTTTTCAAATACGAGAAATGATGCTACAAGTCTACAACAGCACTGTAAATTCCAACCCTTTCGTTAACACTGTGAGAACAAAGAATTGCAAACTGACAGTTTATTCGAGATTACTAAACATCCTTAAATACTCCTGTGTCTAAGCCAACAGACCTGGCTTACACAGCACTGACCACTAACTCGATCTTCCTGCAAATCCGCAGCATGATCACCACACTTCTAGTTCTACCATAACTGCACAATGGACTAAATTGACTATTTACAGAACTCAAGTACTAAGCAGACATTTAACCAATTCGACAGACAAACTCCAACCAAGCAGAAACGACAGCGTTCCAACTTAACAAACAGACTCCAACTAAACAGAACGACAGCGTTCTGACTTATTCAAATCCACACTTAAACCTTGGCGCCAAACCAATCCTTCTCCTTCTCGGATTCGGATTCCCTAGCACTTGCAGCTTGACTCCTTACTCCAACAAATCCTCCCCTGAACTGAACCCTCTCAACTTCGTTCAGTTCACATGCCTCAGCATTCAATGTTCAACAGAAGCCTCTGACACATCACACAATCCCATTTTGCTTCTCAGCAGCTGAAACACTTCCAACTTCAATGGTTTTGTCATAATGTCTGCAACCTGCTCCTGTGTACCACAGTGCTCCAACTCAACCACTCCTTCATTTGCCAGCTCCC